GGAGTTGGTAGTTGCAAGTATGAGTCCTCCTGAAAGCTGAGGCGGAGGAGCCTCCGACAGCCTCTCCCTAAACCGTAAAGAAACGACCTCCCGTTACTTGCCCAGTTGGCCTTCCTTCTCCTGGCTGCCTTTCTGTCTTGCTCGGCTCTCTCCATGTCGTTCTCTTAAGCAGCGTGTGCATCTGCAGGGCTCCCCGTGGTCACCGGTGACAATCGCAGCCCCACCACTGCCATCACAGCTCTCTGACCTCGCGCTACGTGCCAGCCACTGTGGGAAATGCTGTGCTCGTGAGGCTGGGGGGCCCTGGCAAGTCCCTGCACCTCCCGGTCTCAGTTTCCTTATCTGTGAAGTGGGGGTAGAAAGCGGACCATACTTCATAGGGATGTCCGAGGAAACATACGTTCGTGACCAGTTACTTCCTGAAAGTAGCTCCTGTCATGAGTCAGTGCTCAATAAATGTTAACTCTCGCTCTTTAAATATGCACTGAGCGAGCCCTGTATGCCCAGTGCAGTGTGTGCCCTGGGATGTAATGGTGCGCAGAATTCCTGCACGATGCTTGCAATGTTCGTCAACCAGGGCACCCGGTAACATGCGGTAACCCATAGCCCTTCAATATAGTGCCTTAAACAAGGTGGAAGGTAGGTTTTCTCTCAGGCGCCTGGCCAAAGGGACAAAGTCCAAGGCTAGTTAGGATGTCAGAGCCTGCTTCCACATGAGGGTCCAGAGTGGTCACTTCCAGTTCCCACCATCTCCCAGCCGGTGGAAGGGGCCAGGGGCCAGGGGCCAGGGAGGTGTGTGTACACTCTTTTAAAGGAATGACCCCGCAGCACACACATCCACTTGGCCGGAGCCCAGTCACGGCACACCAGCTGCAAGGGAGGCTGGGAAATGTGGTCTCTGCTAAAACTCAAGGCTTCTGTTACTAAAGGGAAGGATGGGTATTGGTGGAAACCCAGCAGTCTCTGCCACAACCTGTGGACTCTGTCCTGTGGGTGATGAGGTCCTAGCAGATGGCCTCATGCCCGACTTGGGTTTTCCCTCACTCCAGCAGCTTGCTCAGAGGGTGACGGGGGGACAGGAGCAAGCGCGCCTGTCCGACTGATATGCCTACCACCCTGTATGCCGTCTCTGGGGTCCTTGCTGCAGGCAGGAACCAGTGGGCTGGGTTCTCAGATGGAGGCCTGAGGCACCGTGAGTGCTGGGGCTGGACAGGGAGCCCCAGCTCTCGCTTGTTGGTCACTCGTCCACTGTTTACACCAGGCACGTGTCTGGCATGAGCTCTAGTGACGGCCGCGCAGGTGGGCTGAGTGGGGCAGGCTCAGCGCTTGGTGCACCCTGCGTGGCCCTGCAGAGGGAGGGGCGAGATGCCCTGCTGACGCTGGCCTCTTTGTCTCTTTCTCTTGGCCTTAGGACCCCCGGAGCAAACACAAGTTTAAGATCCACACATACTCCAGCCCCACGTTTTGTGACCACTGTGGGTCGCTGCTGTATGGACTCATCCACCAGGGGATGAAGTGTGACAGTAAGTACAGGCCCTCTGGCCGCCGGGCTGCTTCCTCAGGGCTTGGGGTCCAGGTCTGCAGCGTGTGCTCCGAGTCCTGGGTGGGCTGGCATGCTGCCTATTGGATGTTGCTGATCAAGTTCCACCTCCCCTGACTCCTGGGGGGGGGGAGGGGGTAGTTGGAGCAGCCTCTGCGATGTGACCGGAAGGGTGGGCTTGTTTTGGCCAAGCTTGGGGGTCTCAGCTGCCTAGAAGGGAAGGAGGGGACAGGAGGGGACAGGAAGGGTCCAGCCTGCCTGGTCGGGACAGAGGCCCGCCTAGCCCTGCCACCTGAGCCTTTCCCTCTCTGCCCCCAGCCTGCATGATGAACGTCCACAAGCGCTGCGTGATGAATGTCCCCAGCCTCTGCGGCACCGACCACACAGAGCGCCGTGGCCGCATCTACATCCAGGCGCACATCGAGAGGGAGGTCCTCACCGTCCTGGGTAGGTGGCCGTGCGTGTGTCTGGAGGGGAGGCTGTTTCCATCACGGATGCACAGGGCCCGCCGGTGGCCCTGCCTCGGCTCCTGCATCTCAGCCCTTCCCTGCTGCAGGCGTCCCTGGAAACACTCTGGGCACCTCGGGTGGCTGGAGCTCAGGGATCCTTCCTCCCCCTCCCTCCTCCGGTTCCCACTTTGGAGTGTGCAGTTCTACTTCCTCTACCGGAGAGCAGAGGAGGGACGCTGGGTGCTTTCCCAGAGGTCTCCGGTGGGGAGAACAGGGTCTTGGTGAGATACCACGGGAGGGTGCTGCACCTTGGGCAGGAGGGCAGTGTGCATCCCTGGGGCTTCCCACATATGGGAAACATTTCTTTCTTGCACCCGGCGGTGGCTGCACTGGTCCCCGGTATACTATTCTCTCCACTCTTGGCACCTCTGAAACGCTTCCTGATGAGAAGGAGGGGTACTGCCGCCTGCCAGCGAGGTGCAGCGAGACGGGGCTGGGGGGGGAGCGGTGGCCCTCACTCACCTGTGGGCCGTCCCAGGAGCTCCTGGCTCCCGCAGGAGCTCAGCTGCACTCACTGTTCAACACGCAGCCACATGCTGCGTGAGACCAGCGCTGGCTGCCCAGGAGTGGGTATCATGGCTCATTTTCACAATCAGGGTTTTATCACTTGGCAGTAGGAAGCTGATCGCGGAAGGGATTGATTTCGCAAAAACTGGTCTGTTTCTGAGGCCGCAGAACCGTTCAGTAGCTCCGCTGTGCTGAGCGCTGTGCTGGGAGGGGCCCTACCTGCAACCTAAGAAAGCTGAAAGATATCGCTGCAAAATATACTCCCTGCTTTAACCTGAGGGTCGTGACACCGTGGCACCCGGTGGGCATCTGCTGAATCGCTTTTTCCTTTCAAAGGAATGCAAGCCGCGGACTTTGCCCCATTGAGACACTTGGGGATTCTGGAGAAAGCCTGGAGTCACTTGTTCAAAAGTAGCTCCTTTCCCCGCTGACTGAGCATCCCGGTGCCCAAGGGGCAAAAATGAGCCCCTGCTGCCCTCTACTGTCATATTCCAGGAGCGCAGGGCTCGGGGCTGCCGGGACCTTCCGCAGGGCGTTCGTCTCCCGTCTGCGCTGCTGGAGCTCACTGCGTGCAGCGCCCCACGCCTCGCCCGGCACCATGTCCCCAAGGTCCACCCGTAGTTCCCGCTACAAAAAAGAAGTGATAATTATGTGACGTGACAGACGGCAGCTACATACAGCATTGTCCACCTTAGATTTGCGCAGTTACATGTCGATTATTTCCCAGTTAAAAACCTCCTGCGGTACTCACAGCAGCCTTGTGAAATACCTGTTATGCTCATTTATGAAGCTGTGAGGCTCCGAGAAGTTAGGCTCCCAAGAGCTTATTTTATTGATAATAAAATAACTAGCTTCCAGTTTTTAATGTGTCGGTCAGTGCACAAAGCACTCACAGGCAGTATCTTTACATTTTTTCGGTAGCTGCTGAGCTAAGGAGCAGTATCCTAGCTCAGGCAGCAGGCTGGGAGAGGCACATGCTTGGTCCTGTAGGTCTGTCCGACCCTCGGTACGATCCACTAAGTTACTACTTAGTGCAGGTCCCTGCACCCCCTCCCCGCACTGTTTGTTCCCTCTGTGGCTTAGCTGCGTTGCCTCTTACGGGCATTCCCTGGGCGTCTTTGTTCCGTCTGGTGCAATCCGGTGTCCTTCAAACTCGAGGTCGGTCTCCCCCTCCATCACATGTATGCCCTGGCAGTCCTGGTACCTGCCTACGAACATTCATTTCCTACAGCTGCNAGTCTCCCCCTCCATCACACGTATGCCCTGGCAATCCTGGTACCTGCCTACAAACATTCATTTCCTACAGCTGCCCTGACAAAATGCTGCACACTGGACGGCCCAGCAGAACAGATACTGTCCTCCAAGTGCTCTGGAGGCTAGAGGTCCGAACCCGAGCATGGTGAGGCTGGCTCCTTCCCGAGGCCCTGAGGGAGAGTCGCCCCTGCCCCTTTCTTCGTTTCTGGTGGCTGCCATCAGGCCTTGGCGTTCCCCAATCTCTGCCTGCGTCATCACGTGGCATTCTTTCCTGCACGTCCCTGCACCCAAATTTCCTCCTGTGAGGACACCAGCCATTGGATTAGGGACCCACCCTTACCTAGCGTGACCCCAACCTAACTTGATTACGTCTGCAAAGACTACTTCCAAATAAGGTCATATTTACAGGTGCTGGGGTTAGGACTTGAATATATCTTTTGGGGGACACAAGTCAACCCATAATGGGGAGAAGGGAGGAAAGTTGGGGCTCATTTAAAGTGAAGAGTAGAGCCTTGGCCAGTGTGGTTCAGTTGGTTGAGGGCTTCCTGTGCACCCAAAGGTCACTGGTTCGAATCCCAGTCAGAGCACATGCTCAGGTTGTGGGTTTGACCCCCGGTCCAGGTGAGTGTGGGAGGCAGCCGGTCGATGTTTCTCTCTCTCCCTCTCCCTTCCTCTGTCACTAAAATCAATTAAAAAAATTAAAGTGAGGAGCAGAGTATCTTTATGCTCAGAGTTCTGGTCTCATTAGTTGGTAGCTACCAGCATTTTAACCACACTGTGGTTTTCTAACTGCTTTGGTACAGGATCATCCAATAGAGCCGGTTCTGTTGCCACCATGTGGAGGGGACACTCAGACTCGGTGAGGCTGAGCCGCTTGCCTGGCGTCCGTGCAGCACCTGGCCTCCCGGCTGCGGGCCACGGTGCACCGGTCGCTCCTTCACCACGCCGGGCACAGCCAGTCCCTGGCACGGCTTCTTGACTGATTGATGATGGAAGAAGCTGATGCTTTGACTATACGTCTCTAAAAATAGGGCCAAGATGAGATTTTTGTTCAAGTGATTTATTGGGGCTGCTCATGGGGGAGAAGTGAGGACAGAGCAGGGAGAGGCCAAGCCAGAGTGTGGTGTCCGCTGAAGACGAACTTTAGCCTGGCGCCTTGGAGGTCTGGACCCGCATCCCAGCAGAGCCAGACCCCCTGTTCTGTGAGGATGGATCAGAGCTATGGGCTGAACTCTGTCTCCCCGGAGTTGTATGTTGGAGCNATAGAGTTGTATGTTGGAGCCCCGACCCCCAGTGGAATGGTATTTGGAGATGGGGCCTTTGGGAGGTCATAGGGGCAGGGCCCTCATGATGGTGTTAGTGGCTCTATAATAATAACAGGGAGAGAGATTTCTCTCTCTGCCTGTGAGGGCAGAGCAGGAAGGCAGCCGGCTGCACGCCAGGAAGCAGGTCCTCACCAGGAACCAAACTAGCCTGCACCCCGTCCTCAGACGCCCACCCCCACAGCTGGGAGAAACACGCGTGCGTGGTTTAAGCCCCAGCCCAGGCTATTCTGTCGTAGCAGCCTGAGCTGACTAGGACAGCCAGCCTCCGCTGCAGGCTGCTGGGGTTCGAGGTGAGGGTGGCTTCAGTGTGGCTGAGGGCGATTATTGAACATGGGAGCAACTGCGAGCCGTTAACAGCCAACACTCACAGCAGCCGGGAGTGCGTCCTTGGCTTGTGTGGGGGAGCTGGGTGGGGTCAGGACACCTGCTCTCCCTGTGGTCTCCCAAGCATCCTCTGGTTTCATGGTTGGGACTCTAGGTCCCTCTTCCTTTATCTCAACCAGACAGACCAGAGAACTAAAGGCTGAGTGGAACCCTCCCTGGCAGTGCCAGGCCGAGTGGCCCGTGGTGCTTGTGGCATCGCCTCCCTTCACCAGGTCTCGGAGGCACGTCCAGTGTGAGGACTCCCCACTCGCCAGCCCAGGACACTGCTGTTTGCTCTGAATGTCACATGCACTCTGCACACGTCAGCCCATCTAGAGGCCACAGGAGGTACAGGTGCTTCTGAAAGGTCTGATGATTTCCTCAGATGTCCTGTGGCTGCTGAAATCCAGCCTCCTGTCTGCTGACAGGGCAGGTCAAGGTCAGAATGGAACCCAGCCTTCTCTGCTGTCAGGGGTCTCGCAGGTCAAGGTCAGAGTGGAATCCAGCCTCCTGTCTGCTGTCAGGGATATTGCAGGTCCAGGTCAGAGTGGAACCCAGCTTCCTGTCTGCTGTCAGGGGTCTTGCAGGTCAAGGTCAGAGTATAACCCAGCCTCCTGTCTGCTGTCAGGGGTCTCGCGGGTCAAGGTCAGAATGGAACCCAGCCTTCCTATCTCGCAGGTCAAGGTCAGAGTGTAACCCAGCCTCCTGTCTGCTGTCAGGGATATTGCAGGTCAAGGTCAGAATGGAACCCAGCCTCCTGTCTGCTGTCAGGGGTCTTGCAGATCAAGGTCAGAGTATAACCCAGCCTCCTGCCTGCTGTCAGGGATATTGCAGGTCAAGGTCAGAGTGGAAATCCGATCAGTTTCCTTTAAAAGCTCATTACTGGCTCTCACTGCCGGTAGCACAGGCAGCCTGCTCTGGTGACCTCATGGTCTGTTTGGTCTCTTCCCTTTTAGTAGCCCATCCCCTGCACCCACCAATAGGATGTCGCTCATTCCATTCCCTCGACGAGGATGCTCACCTGCGCCCTTGTTTCCTTCTCAGCTCATCCTCACCACCGGGACCCCCCCCCCCCCT